CTACAATTCCAGCTTCACTTTAGTGTTCAACTACAATACTCACGAATATTCACGAACTAAAGTAAAGAAATATCGTCTACTTCATGAAAATTATAACTGCCCCTGAACTGGTCGAGATGTATTGGTTTAATTACCTTCAGTTTCTAGTTCAAAATAAGACAGAACACCTGATAGCAAAATTTTGTGCTGAAACCTAGGTCGAAGTAACCGAGTTATTTTGAACTAGAGACTGAAGGTAATTAAACAATTTTTTAATCAAATCTGAGTAATTTCACGATGTAGTTATATCATAGTTATGAGTTTTTAGGTACCTTCATGGGCAATAAATATTTAATAAAAATGAAGATAGTTTTACACATTAAATTCGTAGCTTGCTTGAATTCAACTTCCTAATTTAATAACTGACAAAAAGCGGTTAGTTGAGTAAATAATCTGACCATGTTATAATTATGCCACAATTTTCTACGATTAATCAATAAATAAAATTGTTCAAAAAATAATTTTATTTTGGTATTCACCTATTTTCTATGTCAGGAGAACATAATTCAAGCACGAACTCCAATATGCATCGTTTAATCCTCAATCGCATCAATTATGAAACTCGTTTAAACTGTGGTTTTAGTGCAAAACAATTGACAACCATGTTGCTTCAAGTTAAAATTGAGTTTACTCGCACAAAGAAGATATATTCAACTCCTTGGAAACTCCACTTTATCGTGGTTTACCTCGTAATCTCCTATAACTTAGTAAATGTAGAAGTTTAGCTTCAGATATTGCGTTGGGGACTGTCTTTTTCTTGGATGTATTTCACTAGATATACTCTGCGGTAAGTTGCTACTACTTTACTTGAAGTAACGCTTTAGCCTACTCATGACACATAGATAAGGAACAGTTGTTTTATTTTAATTTTTTCTGTAAAATAAACAATTTATTAGTAAATAAATGCATTAGAGAAGAATGCAGAAGAGAAGAAGTGTTAAGGTTTACTCCAAAATCAAGACAAAGAGGTATCTTGGAAATGTTTTATTGTAAAGAAAGTTATTGATTCAATGTTAAGTAGCAAGGTAAAGAGGTAATAGCGTGATAAAATATATAGCACGTTTATTATTTTCTAAATTAAAACCCTTGGAATTAATTTTATATAATAATATGTATCTATTTATAGTCTCCACATATAAGTTATGTAAGTTTCTATCATTTCCTAATTCAACTTTCTTTAAATTAACTTTCTTTAAATAAAAACTCGCACAAATTTTATAAGGGTGTATGCACTGAAATCAGATACCCTATCATTTAAAGTCAAATTCCTTGCATATAATTGAGATATATTTAATCATCTTCAAGAACTGAATATGTAACTGTCGTATTAATATAGTTATTATAAAGTAAAAATAAAGTATGTTGCAGTTATTATAAAGTAATATATACAAATAAACATATACATTTCTATTCTTTATATCATAATTTTTTTCGTTATAATTGGAGTGTGGGGGGGTTTCAAAATAAATTGACAATAGAATCGAGCATTGTGATACATTTGAGGATGGTAAAATTTTGAGTAACTGTGTAAGGTAAAACGGGGGGAACTTCTTTACCTCATAATACACTTAGGACAGTTAACACACTTAGTTGTAGGAAATCAATTTTTTCATCTAAATATTTACATATACCACTTCTTCCAAGGTTTACAATATGGTTGTGCAATAATTCTTTTGTCCGAGGACGCTTGACTTTGGCGGGGGATCGTTTTTTTTACATTACTTAATACTAGACCTAGGGGTTGCAGCGTTATCACTTACATAAAACCTTTTGGTGATTTAGCAGGATTTGAACCTGGGACCTCAGGAACCGAAGTCCCTCGATGTACCACTAGACCAGCTAACTTTCCACTATTATTGTACGGAAGGGAACAAAAAGTAGTTTCGCAAAATGTTACCTTTAGTCCAATAATTATATAGATTTCAGATTTTCATTCTTTTTATAACTTAACTTAACATTGATCACAATTATTTCCTTAGCATATTCATCATGGTTTTGAGGGTTCAAATTAAAAATAGTTTACCTGTAAAAAATTACTGTTAGTTTAAAATGTCATTAGTATATAACATACGCTGCCCCATTAAATCGTTGATGGCAACTGTAGCATCCTATACTTGATGTTCCATTGGTAAAATGCTTTATCAATAACAGACAGAATATTTTCAACAAAACTAAACAGCCTATTGAAATTTAAGTCATGTTTCACTTCTGTTATATATTTTTATTTGAAGAAAACAAATCAAATCGAGAACGCTGAAGCCAGCAGTGATGCCGTAATCGAGATACTCTGTGATTGATGTTAGTCTTTCAGCTTTATCGAGAACGATAAAAACCGTGGAGAGCCAGATCTTCATGTGTGCCATTCTGTTTTCACAAGAAAAATATATCTTGTGTGATGATATTACAGAATATGACGAAATAGTGAGTTCTTCATCCTATTTAGGTTTAAGATAAGTGCGTTTGTACGTCTTACATTTTGTACCTTTATTTTTTTAAGGGATTGTACAAATCCTAGTCTTGTTTTCGGTCACTGTCGGTCTTTTGTTATAGGGTGTCCCGTAACTTCCTGGACACTTGTATACAGCGTTATTGCTTAGGTCAAGACAAACACATTTCACCGTAGGAACATGGGTCTGTGGTGTCTAGTTTACCGACTGCCGGTAGCCTATTAATGTGTTAAAAAAACTAATAACTCCTAAACGGTTTGAGATGCAACTTTGATAATCCTTTAACGTTGTTTAGCATTGTTTAAATGGAGAAAAGTGGTCATACATTACGAAAACAACACGTTTCTGTGTTATTATTTATCCAATCTTAACAAATAAGGTATCATTGACAACAACATAGAATTTACAAACTTTTTTGTCTCTCGCAAATTCTTTGTAAAGTTAACCGTTTTCGTGAAATTTGGCATCATATATTTTAAATGGTGGCCATTTTGAAAAGGTAAATGATTTTTTTAATAATTTCTAACGATAATAGGTCTTAATAAGATTAACATGTTTGCAATATATCAAAGCAGTATCTTAAACCGTTTAGGAGTTATTAATGTTTTTGTAAAAAACACATAAATGCCGACAGTTGGTAAACTAGACACCACAGACCCATGTTCCTACGGTGAAATGTGTTTGTCTTGACCTAAGCAATAACGCTATATACATGTGTCCAGAGAGTTACGGGACACCCTATAGCATTGATTTCCCCATAACAAATGTCAGTCCAGCAACGATTTTGCTTAGATCCAAACACGCAATGTCCAGACTTGAAGGTGATTGCTCTAAACTTTCGGCTACACTAATAATTTAAACAGTTAAACACAATTAACATATATTAATATATTGAAATGTTTTTTAAGCCTTCTTATGGAAAGTAGCCAGTATTTTCAGTGGCAAACGGCTTTTTGAGTGGGATACTGTATAACTTAAACAACAGTAAATAGATTATGAAATAAACTTCCCAGTTTTCTGTTCTAGTTATGTACGTGTACCATTACGACAACCAAATATCAGGTATAAAAAGCTGATTTTATCTGTTATCCTGGAATTTGGAATAACATAATAAAAACTGTATAAGTGACAGATTCACATAAGTGCAAAATAACACCAGAACGTTCTTCCACTATACACAATACAATGTTGTTGAAGCAATTATAAATACTTGACAAAATTCGACAAAACACTTTAAAATATGAACGTCTAGTAGCAGCAGAAACGTGCATTATAATGTTTATTTTGCTATTCTATGATAGCAGTGGAAATACCACATCGTATTTACATGTTAATCTGCTTAAATGGAGTGGGATGTTATTTACTCTGAATTCTAAATGTAAGCTTTCATTAGCGTTCAAGAAACATTGAGCTGGACTATTATGATTGTCAGAGAAAATATGTTTTTATTTTTGCTAGAAGAAAAAATTTTAACGTTACAAGAAAATTAAAAATATGTTTTCTAAAGCATTCTTTTATTAATCGTTTTTGTTGTTATATCAAAACATAACCACAAATGCTAAAATATTGTTTCTTTACGAGTTGCGTACGATATAACAAATGTAAAAACAAAATTAAAATATAACTAGAATTTCATTTATTTGTATTTTTTTATAACCTACATTTTATCTTATGGCGCAAATCTAGAGGCATAACTATACATTATACTGATGGTACATCGTTACTATATGCTAGGATTTACCTTAGTTATAATTAAATTATCACGGATTTAAAAATGAAATAGACATACATATCAAGGATTGTATCGGCATTATATCGGTCAAATTAAATTAAAAAATATAGGGGTTATATAGCAAACGGATCCAGTTGGCGGAAATCCTTTTCCATGGAAGACTAAAATTATTTAAAGTATGGCAATAAAAAATATAGAGCCAAAAATCTTTGTCCACTATATATACAATTAACTACTTAAATAATAAGACCAATATAGGTAATTTACATACATATTATAGTAATTTCAGTTGATTATTATAAATAATAGTTGACATATAGATGTCACAAAACACCTTATATAAATAATTAAATGCGACTGCTATTAATTTTTGTTACACTCACCCAACAAAGAATACAATAAATATACATTGAAACTGGGTGTTTCGCACGCCTTAGTTTAACTACAATTAAATGTCATTTATTGGGATGTTTTTCTTTTAAAAGTATAACATTTTAAAACATCATCTGTTTCATTGAAATACTAAAGAACTCCTTATACATCAAGTACATTATTACTCTATCAATAAACTGCATAACTCAGTACCCACAGATTTAAAATTAAATCAAAACCCCTAAAATAATGTTCATTATAAAAGCAAAAAGATTATACGAGCATTCATATTTCTTATGTTATTCTCATAATAAATTACATTTTTTACCCACACCCATGAAAATTATATCTGCAATTATTCACATATTATAAGTAAATTATGTCTAATTGAGTATGGGTACGCAGCTTACCTTGATTCACCACTATTAGTCCAATCACTGAACACTACGTCACGACAAAACGACAGCAGCACTGAACAGTTATAGCAAGGCGCACCAGTAGATAGCGCACCACTCGCCCCACACCGCACAACTAACTGACTGCCGGACCGCCCGCCGCGACACTAGCGCTCCTACCGGCGACTACGCGAACCTGTTAATTCAATTCCCAGCAATCCTGTTCACCCTTTGTCGCGTGAATTAAAAACCCGAACGATTTATCTTCCTGACAAAGTGATTCACTCCTGTTTGAAGCGTTTTGGAAAATGGCTTTTCCCATTCATCCGGGATGATATTTTCCGAAAAACCAAAACTGATCCGTTGTCAGCCCGCAATCCGGTTTGCGATAAGAGTGGTTCCATGTAAACTACTTTTGGGGCTTGCAGAGTATTTCACTGGGGCTATGTTGCGTTTTTATCAGATCCAGATTTATAAGTAAATAGTTTTATAGAATTGGAACAGATTTAAAACATATTATTTCATGGATTTCAAACATACTTGCAGATATGCTAATATACAAGTTTACTAATAATGTGAACGATGTGATAAAAAGATATTTCTTACGTATATAAATCAATATAGTAATTAAGCTATACCATCTATCAATATTTTTCAATCTCATAAACCAGAGACCAATAACTTTATACAGTATTTGATAAATAAACGTAAGCACCCATTTTGATCTTATATTAATACTTTTTAATTAATAAAATACCTCATGTTAATGATGACATTTTCAACTAGATTACCCAATCATTATACCTCCTTTACAATTTACAATCAGTAGAATTGATAAAAAAATGAATATGACAAGGTAAATTAATATTTTTTGTCTTAAACAATAAAGCATAATATTGTGATTACCTCAAAACAAGCACTTGTTTCCAATGTGCTAAAAAACTACTTCAAATTTGTCAACCCAACACATAGTTTTTAGCTATTTATAATTATTCCTATATTTTAATATCTTACTCTGTCTAATGGACTTAGTAAAGAAACTTAGGTAAGCCTGCGACCACAGTGGTATAATCCCTGTCAAGCCAATGGCTAAACACAAAATGCAAACCCCAAAACTGGATGTGGTGGTAAGTGGAACGTTAAGTATTTGAAATAACCTCAATACTACTGTAAAGGTACTGTGTACTTTTTAATTGTTTTTAAATGTTTATGTTAATGATCACCAATCTTATTCTTGTTGAACTGCTAAAACCATTTTATTGTATACAAAAAAAAGTATGAAAGACTCCAAAGTTATAAATGATTTAACACGTACCATAGAAGACAATATAAAGGATTTCTTGATTAAAATTTAATTACCTTCATGTAAAAAAACTACACAATTAAAAAACGCCTAATATCAAAAGGGAGTGAATTTGTTCGTAAACAGTTCAACTAAGCCATACATAAATTATTTAATTTAGTTGGGTTTTTAAAAATAAAAAATATATTTAACTTTTTTCTCATATGCAATCAAATATTTTTATCATATAAATATAAGGTTTTTGATACTCAACCTTAATTACGCGTATTGTAGGCTTACTTTTTATAATCTAACATTACATAACAACATTAACATATATTTTAAATAAAAAATATATAACACATTTTTTAAAAATCTTCTGGTGATGTAAATGTGATCAAGATTATCCTGAAATCACCATAGAATACAAATACCTGATGATTTATAACTGCGTTTAAGTGAAAGTAAATTGCCAGAGGTTCCCTAATGGAAAATCAACTGCGCCAAAAGTCACTATGATTAATCATCCTACGGTTGCTTTCTTGTTACATAAAGTCTCAGGAACGGTGATCGATATATTGTAGTTTAGTAGACTTGGCTCTAAACTTAGGTTTTGTGAACGTAAAGATGATGCATTAATTTATCGCCGGAAAGTAATCTATTTTACAACTCTTAACATTACATTGTAATGATAGTTGCAAAGTTCTGCCTACAAAAATTAAACAATGTGATGAAGGACACGTCATTATTAAGATTCGGCTTTGCATACTTTTCTAATGGATGGATGGATTATAGTGTAGGAACACATACTTTCTGGACCTCTGTAATTTTTGTTTAAATGTTTTTGGAGCACAAATAATATTCTTATCTGCATTTGATTTTTCTTTTAAATTAATTATAGTTCTCGTATAAATTTTCTTAAACCCAGGTCCGAAGGGGTTTGGTGGAAAGCTTATGAAGTGGGAAGGGGAAGTGTACAGTATTCAGGAATTCCTCTCCATCTGATTTCATTAGTATATCATTATTATTTATTTGTATTGGTCTGTAGGTTAACTCATCAATTATTTGTTTAAAACACTGAGTTTTAAACTATCTTTGACGATTGAAATGTGCGTTGAATTTTTACTCGATTCATTAATTTAATATGTCTATGTCTATAGGTGGTTTGTACCAGACAATTTCAATACGGGACATAACAGCGTAATCTTAGCTTTGTTACATATTAAAAATAAGGATACAAATGTTATGGTAAGATAAACTCCTAGAATTGTAATGGTACAGTGCTTGAAGGATAACATTTAAAAATACACCATAGGTTCAGTATAAACCGTCGTAGATAACATAATTTTCTTAAGTGGAAAAAGGTTTACCATCTAATCGTTGTATGATTTGCATTTATTGGTTTACAGATCACGTAATTAACAACAGCTATTACAAGACACAAAATCAATCACTACCTTTGACGAAAAGACTGTATAAAGACTAAATATTCATCATTTAACAAATTGGAAAATGTCACGATTAGTAATAAAGATTTCATTGCGTTTCAGGATCTGGAATCTGATGTCGTCCTCAGGTGTGAACGTCACCAAAATAAAAACAAATATTATGATACACAAGCACAGCCAAAGGGGAAAACTAAAGGTGAGCACTAGGGGAAATAATTTAATCCACCGTTGAGTAGTTATTTATATACACTAAAAACATTTGGTATATTTCACCTCATAAAATAACTATATTAAACATTTTAAAATGAAATATTTCTTAACTTTACCAAACCTCTTATGGTAACCCGATTTCCCCCAAATTATATAGTGCTAACTTATAAAATTGTAGAACGATTCATGAAGGTGAGTAAATTTAGAAAATAATTATTGTCATAAAAATAGAAATGATAAAATGAGATTATTTTATTTTTCTAAAACTATTTATAGTTTTTTTCCTTAGATATTTGGGGATTCACAATAAGGATTCAAATGCATAAAATCATGCTAATTATAAGTTTATAGAAAGTACGGGACATACAAAGGATTAATCTGATAGAGGTATCAAATCCTAAGCATGTGTTTCTCTAATCCCCATTTATGTATAGTAACCTTTCTTGTAAAATACCCTTTCTTTGCTGGTCTTTTGCCATTTATCATTATTGTATTTACAAAGGTTCGTTAGTTCAATTTGTACTCAATGTTTCCGTAATTTGTTATTTTGCTCTTAATTTCTTCATTACATTCCTCTTGTAACAGAATTCCAGTGTTTTACTGTTCCTGTACCTCAAACTTATGTCAAGCGAGTTCTGTCAAATTAAATTAATTACTAATTCTACAAATAAAGGTTACAGTATCTAAAATCCTCAATATACTGAATATTTAAATACTTCCTTACTTATCCTATAAAACTAAATCCAAAGATTTAGCATTAACTTAGGGTTTGCCAACGATGAATAAAACAGTAAAAAAGACAAATTATTATCAAAAATTATTTAAAAAAATAATTGTTTTTTTATCATATTATTAAAAAAACAGTAAAATGTTATCCATTGACGACTCATTGGAAAGAGCGTGTCGCGTAGATTTGCAAACTGGCCTTACATTTTTTTTTAAAGTCCCTTGGGCTCTGCCCCAGTGGCTTTGAAAGTTCCCATGTTATCCTTAAGGAGAACTTAACTGTTTACATTTTGATCAGCTGTATAATTTAATTGCTGTTATTTATTTTTCAATTCAATGAAACGCTTTGAGTACATTTATTTACTATTTACTAAATGCGCCCTAACACTACCCCAAAACGATTTTTGTGTTCTCAATTGGCCCTCTATCAATGACATGCGTTGCCTGTACAGCGAGACGATTTGAGAAGGAGAAAACCGACCGGAATGCTTTAGGTTTATCAAAAACTAAGATAAACATGGTCTGAGTTACACACCGGTAATTTTTGAATTTACTCTTTTAAACTCATTGTAAATATAACTGTTATTCGTTTTGAGATAACTCCTGTAATACTTTGAAATTGCTCGAATTCGAGCAACATGTGTAATTTATCAATAAAACGTTCATGACTTAGTTACAACATTATTTTAAGTAACTAAGATAAATTGAATTACCATGTATGACAGTAATTATAAACTTTTTCCTAACATATTTTTGCTCTTGATTAGTCATAATCTTTCTTTCCTTTGCAAAAAAAAAAAACTGTTCTTACATAGGCTATACTGTATACAATATTATTTTTTACGTTAATTGTATGAAACCAACCGTACACAGGTCATACATTTTTCTACCTTGAACTGAATTAATAATTGTTGCCACAAAGTAATTTATAAATTATTTTTTTCATACTAATACAATATATGATTAAGAATTTATTCCGTTACATAATAGGTTGTATTCTAAATCAAGAATTAATATTTTTTAAATATTAAATTTTGGTAAAATTTTTGACAAATATATTTTAAGATTAAAAGCCTCTGAAATCCTTGACGATGAGGAAAGACACATTTCCCCGTCACATCAGTCTTACTCAGCGCAGATCCATCACTTGGTTAAGTGACAACCGCAAGTGACACTGGTATATATCACTTTAACATGTAACACATTATTACCACCGTGACTACATTATGACCTTCTTAAGAACGGGACAATAACACCTCTTGAAATGATAAGTAGCTTATATTTTCAAAATTTTAATAATTTATTTACTCTCTTTTAAATTATAAATTTATTATTACGTACTTCGAAGACAATTACTATAGTATAAAAGTATGGAACTGCTGGGATATATTTCCATTTATGTCTGTACTTACATTATTAATCCACTTCGTTTCTTGTAATAAAGGTGATGTGTATGCCAAACATATACAGGATTAAAACGTAGAT